CATGGCCCTGTGGGTTACAAAGGAGAATAGGCACCCAGCCACCCTGTTTAAATGTATCAAGACATTTTCAATGTTCACTGTGACAGGACCTTTTGGATTGAAGCATATACAGACATGCAGAGATGAACTGAAGCTGAGAAAGTATACATGATCACACTGAATTATAGTGGCTCTCAATCTACTGGGCATAAAGCAGAGTTTCCTTTAAATTATTTTAAAGTCTAACTCAATACCACTTTGCTATTGTTCAGCTTACTACTTATAGATTGTGTATACATTGGCCAGTATTATCTATCTACCGATTTATCATGCATGTCCCGAAAGTTTAGCTACCTACCACTTTAAAGAAATATATTTGGGAGTCTTCAAGAAATAAAGGATGGCATCAGATCAGACTGGAAAGTTGTAATGTGAACATCTTTCAATTAAAAAATCTCTGATTTATGTATAGTAATTGTGTGTGGCACTTATACAACTGTCATAAAGGTAAAAAAACAAAAAACTCAAGGCAAACAAAATTATGTATCAGTTGCATTATGACTAATGACTAAGTGAATTAGTTGGTGGACAGAGGGTCTTTGCTCTCACAGTGTGAGGTGAACTGTGCAAACCCCACTCTGCAGGTGGCTATTACCTGTGATAACTCAGTTCTTCCTGACAATCTTTTCTCTTTTCAGTTTTTGTGGACCCTTTCTGACATAAACGTAAACTTAATTTTAAACACATTTTTAAATATTGAAGTCCACTAAAGTCATAAACTGCTTGCTTAGCTTTGTCTTTCACTCTTAAAAATTGTTCTCACGTACAGGGTGGGGCAAAAGGGTAGGTTTACAGTTGTTCACAGAGGAAATAATACAATAATTAATAAATAGTAATGCAAGAATAAACTGTGTGTTTCACATACAAACTACAGTAAATCTACTTTTACCCTACCCTGCATTCAAGAAAAAGAAAAAGAAACTCATACTCAGCAGGAAAACAACTTGATAAAATATCTTCCCTCCTTGTTGTATGTATGCTCTGTAGTGTGCTGTGTTTTCACTTTTGCAGGTGCTTCTCAAAGTTCCTAGAGGAAGAGGAGCTATGTTTTGGGTGTTCGTCCAGAATGATTGAAAGATCACTGTGAACTTCCAGTGAATGTGCCAGGAAAAACAGATCACAGGTATATTTGTAAACTACCCAAACAATGGTACTTTATAAAAGTATTAACTTTTCAAAAGAAACGAATTTCCTACATAAGAAGAACTTGGATTTTTGAATTTTGACACAGACATGAAAAATGTTTTAGACACCATCACAGATGATAGAGAAAATACAGAGTTGAAATAGACATTCTGTAGCCCAAAAAGAAATTGCAAACATGTCAACAGATCCTACTCATATCTCAATCAACAGACTATACTTGCAGCTGCCTGTGCTACTCAACCTTATGCATTTTGCAGAGCTTTGTGAGAGAGAAATCTTTACTTAGAAAGTCAGACATGATTGCACAGGACCACAGATGATTTGGCACACACACACACACACACGCACACACAAAAATGGCTGTAAAACATGTCGGTGTTGGTATTTTACAAAAGTGAAATACAAGAAAAACTGAATGGTACTTAGCCAACTGACAGCAATGGTGAACTGGTAGGGGAAATGAAGGGTTAGGTCTGATCTTAGGTGGTGTGTGGTCTGCAGAATTTGGGGAATCTTAGAAACACTTGTCTTTACCATCTGAAAGCAATAACATATATTCAACTTCCTCACAGTGTAAAACTGTGTATTTCAAATTAAGTTACCAATAAAGGTAGATTTTTCTTCAAGACTAGGAATGAAAAAATATTCAGTATTCCAATGAAAGAGTTCTGTTTCCATTGTCTTGATTAAATTCTCAGTCCATGACATTTTATGAACTTGGGCAAGTTTTACTTTTTTGTTTGGTTGTGTTTAGATTTTCTGTGCCTTAATATGAAATTATAGCAATAATAGTAATCATTTCATCATGTGTTTATGAGCATGAAAAGAAATGTTACGCATCACCACATAATAAATATACAAGAAACAATTATTATTAAATGATTCAAATTATCGAATCTCTACAAAAAATATCTCACTCTCTCTTACAATCACTTCTCTCTCACATATATAAATTGCACACCTACACACAGCTGACATTTAGGGAATAAATGATGTTAATTAATAAAAAATAATATAAAATCCAAGATGCGACTTTCACCTGAGAGTTCTGGACAAATGCATTTGTATACCAACCTGAGAATGAAGAAAAATGCCCTCAGTAAAGATGCAGACTGACAAGGAAATGGAAGACAGTTTATACACACCAGGCAAAAGAGAACTGGAGGACCATAAGAGACATTTCCCTTAAATTTTTGCTTAGGAACAAAGAAGTAATTAAGCAGCTTCCTCTCTAAAGGACCCTTGGGGAACTACATCTCCAGAGAAAGAGGTGATTGTAAAATTTCTTATTTTGGCAGTGAGGGAGGATGGTGTAGGGAGGAAGGGCACCATTAGGAGTCAGTTTTTAAATAATTAATTTATTATTCTTTTTTATTTTTTCTACCTTTTGTTCTACTACAGTAGTCCCAGGGAACTGATGTGCACAATTTTCTTTCCACCCCCTCAACAAATTCAAGTTGTTTGGATTTGTTCTGGGATCAATTTAACAGGATTTACCTTGGGTTTGCATCACAATAAAATTGCTGATAGTGTTACTCAGTCTGATTAAGGGTATGTTTTCTTCTGTACTTCAGTCTGTGTCACTTGGTTTTTCAAGAGAAGGAGGAAACAAGTACTATTCCTTATAATTAAATTTGTAATTTATCAAAGCAGGAGAAATATGTTTGCTTTAACTTTATTGATAAGAAAAACTAGAAACTTAATCATAGCAACAATAATGCGTTTATTAAAGTTAACACATGCCATATCATTTAACTTAGTTCTCATAAATATCTCCTAAGATATTTATATTTTTCTCACTTTTGCAGGCAAAAAATTCGAGTCTTAGGGAGGTCCAGTACCTTACTCCAGAAGTCCCACCCACTCTTCATTCAGAATGGACACCCTTCTCAGGGGTGTAACAGGGCGCAGTCAGGAGGGGGGCACTAAAAAAAGGATTTGCAATGGAAGGGGTCTGTAACTCAAGGTCCAGGAAATATTAAGATGTCATCCCTCCCCCCCAGCATGAAGAGGTGTCATTTGGGGGAAGGGACTAATGGAGCAGGGCCATTGAGAATTGTTTCACATAGCAACAGTTTTGCAGCTAACTTCTGGAATGGTCATTTAACGTATCTATAACCTTTAACTGGTTTCATAGACATGTTAAATTGCTGTGACCATGCTTTGAGCCAGGGAGAAGGGAGTGGCTTCTACCCAGGATGTAACTGAAGGCTGGTCCCCTGAGTTACAGCACCCAAATGAGAGCTTGGAGATGATTGGCTCCACAACATGGGGCCACACTTGCCCAGACTCACTACTGCAGCCCGGTAAAGCTGGGAGGATATGGAAGTCCTGGCAGGTGTAACTGATTCTGGGAGTTGAAAATGGGGCTGCAAAGGAGGACTGGTACGGGGATTTAAACCCAGACACAGCAGCCATTGGGGAGAGAGCCACTTGGTTTTGGTGGAGTGTAGGTACCCTCTTGCCCAGGTGAAGAGAGAGCCATGCACTTTGGGCAGAGTGAGGACCCCTTCTTGCCCAGGTGAAAGAGAACCACGCACTTTGCCAGAATGGGGACTGCTGCAGCCCGGTGAAGAAGAAATCCACGCACTTTTGGCAGAGTGTGGACCCCTGCGGCTTAGGTAGAAGAGGCCCATGTGGCTTGCGGATGCTCCCTTTGGCTGCGTGGCCTAGAGAGCAGGAGAGACTTTGCCTGGAAAAATGGCTATGAAGAACAATCGCTAGTGGACCATGAGAAGGTGCCACTTGACTTGTGAGTAACTGGAGATCCTGCCTGGATGGCGACACAGCTGACGGTGCCAGCACTCAGCCTGAAACACACACATGTGCTTCTTTTCCTGAAATACAGTACCCCAATTTAGGGCATGGGGAGAAGGAAGCACTGTGGGCCTCTGTGGTTGGCCTAAAGTACTTTGATATTTTTATGGAGACATCGGGTCACTGCTTTAAGTCTGGACAACTTTAAATAAACCTTTCCTTTCCTTTTCACAAATCTCTGGCATTAAGAGATGTCTTTCCAATTGGCGACGACAATCCGGCCCAGCACAGGGGTCCCTATGGTATTAGTATACCCTCCTCTTGAGTCCAGGGTCCCGGTGTATCTGTTCTTTAACAGTTTCTTTGGCATCCCTGGGTGGGCCAAATATTGCTGCCCTGGGACTTCTGTTCCGGAACAGGGGCACATGAGATATGCACAGTGTGCTTTTTGGCAATTTTGGGGATGAATTATGGACGTTATCAGAATCTGTACAAGAGAGACATCATGCTGTATCTCTTAAAAACCAAACAACTGAGCAGGGATTAAATACAGTAAGATTGTTATTTTCAAAGTAATTGTCACTGAACACACCTGCACTTCACAGTGAAAAAGCCACTAAATATCACAAGATCACACAACTTTTAGAGGGACTATTGTATGTCCTCATTCTATAAAATTGAATAAAATACACTACTTATTTCTGCCACAATTTACTTTATAAATAAGCACATTGATATTTCCCAGATTCATCTACTGCATTTTAATAAGATAAACAAAACCTGTTCATTCTAGCTATGAATTTGAACAATTTCAATTAGTGCAAGAGTGAACTTTGACTCAAATAACCTTTCATTAGTTAATTTATGAAGTTTTAGTTATCCTCACTGCTTACATCAACAGAAATGGGTCAATCTACTATTTTTCTTTTAATGTGAGTCTTTGTTCTTTTTCTTTTCACTGTGCAGCCTTTAGCTTTTGTAAAAGGTCTTTAGCTTTGTACTAAGCCATAATCTGCTGACAAATAGAATGTAGAAAACAAAATTAACTCAATTTTACTTTAACTTGTTACACATATTCTGCTCATCACTTTGTTCAAGGCCACTTTCACATCCTTGTTTCTCAGACTGTAGATCATGGGGTTCAGCATGGGGATCACTGTGGTGTAAAACACAGCCACCATTTTCCCCTGCTCCACAGACTCCTCTGTGGGGCGTCTGAGATACATGAAGATGAGAGTCCCATAAAATATGATGACAGCTGTCAAGTGGGACCCACAGGTGGAAAAGGCCTTCCACCTCCCTTCTGCCGAGTGCATCCGGAGAATGGCAATGACAATGAATAGATAAGAAATTATAACTACAGTCAGAGAGTACGTGAAGTTAATACCTGCAAGTATGATCATGGAGTACTCTTTGACAAAGGTCCCAGCACAGGCCATTTTGATGAGAGGTGGGTCCGCACAGTAGAAGTGGTTGATCTCAATTTTCCCACAGAAGTATAAGCCATAGGTCAATAATGTTGCTGCCAGACTAGTCAGAAAACCATATATGTAAGGGAAAGAGATCAGTCGAACACAGACAACCGTTGACATTCTGCTGCCATAGAGCAGAGGCTTCCCAATTGCCATGTATCTATCAAAGGCCATCACAGCAAGGATAAAAACTTCCACATGGACAAGGGCAATGAAAAAGAAACACTGTACCAAACAGCCATTGTAAGAAATAGTCTTTGTCTCAGATAACAGGTTTTCCAACATTTTAGGGGTAACGTTGGAAGAAAACCACACATCTACAAATGACAAGTGACTGAGAAAAAAGTACATGGGGCTGTTGAGCTGTGGACTGACTTTAATTAACACAATCATGCCAATATTGCCTACTAAGGTGATAATGTAGACCATGAGAAAAATGATGAAGAAGAGAATTCGCCATTCCTGATGACTGGTGAGTCCCAAAAGAATAAACTCTGTCACATCAGTGAAGTTGAGCATTTTCTCAGTTCCTGGCCAATGTTAGTTATAAATCTCTGTGATGGCAAAAAAAAATTGAAAATCAAATATTAATTATTTATTAATTTACACTTTTATCCATGCCCATTTTGACTGTTTTCATTGTTACATACCTCGGACTGCTTTTTGCCACTGTTGCCAGCAGATCTCTGGTCGTCACTAAGATGAGTAAATACATGGGCTCTACTATATAACAGTGACAGTAACTATTGTGATACAAATGCTAGTGTTAAATATTGGGATTCACCAAATATTCCAAGACTACATTTTAGAAATCTCTCTTTCCCAATGCTGGCATGTTTTGGTAGTTTCACATTTTTTTAGATACTTATGGAGAGTTATACTTCTCTTTTGACCACAAGTCAAAAGTGAATTTTATACCATCTTTTTAAAATATAAATATATTCTTCATGATTAAAGGAGAAAGCCAACTAATCAAATAACCCATAAACTCCAAATTCCAGATGAAAAATATTTTTAATTTAATCACATATTTGTACTCAGTCAAACTGAAGAGGCACAAACTAATCACAGTCATCATCAAAACCAAATGAAAAGGGTGAACCACTTATACATGTTCATACGTATTCACACATTATGCATGTTCTCTGGGTACTGACTCTTTTGCGTATCACATGCAATTCCAATCTACTAGCTAGCATCCACTGTAATGTCCTGGAGATTCAAAAATAGTAAAATAAGGAGATTAATGTTACTACTTATAGTGGTATTAATGTAAGTAAATTTTCTGAAACCATGATATACTCATACAGAAAGCTCCTTGGATGTTTTGCAAATTTATTTTCAAATATAGGTTGTATCATATACACCTTTCTCCAGAACAATATTTTACAAGTTCTTTTCCTAAGAAAACACTAGTTTCTTTTATAATGTTCATAGGGGTTATGAAGAGAAATCCACCAGTATCCATTCATCAAATAAGAATGAGAAATCTTTATATCCTATCCAATCATTTAGAGTCACACAATCTACCTAGTACAATTGAACTCTGAGAAGTTTTATGGAAAATAATTTATTAAACTTAGTTTGGCTTGCATTAACTTATCTCAGAAGAGAGGTGAGAGAGAAATCCCATCAGCCTCAATGAACATGGACACAGGCTGTAATTCTTCCCCGTAAGAATTTTGAGACAGCCTGTCGATGGCACAATGAATGTGTCATGGAATGGTGTCATGCCCTTGAAGGTGAAATGTCATTCCTAAGACACAGGATTATTCCAAAAACTCTTGTTTTAACATACAAAATTACATTTTGTTCAATTACAATTAGATGGGACCTACCCATGGTTTTCACTGGGTACTGACCAGGACAGACAAGAACAGGCAATAAGATGCACCTCACTGCCATAGTGAAAATAAATGCACGTGTCCACAAAGGTAATGCTCTACTGCCCACTCCCCTCATTTGGAAAGGAAAGTTTTCTCTGGAGAAAGGAGAATGCTAACAATCAAGGTTGATCATACCAAGACTGCATTACTCCAGAGTCTCAGGCTAATTAAGGAAAAGTGGAGGCATTAACTAATGGCTAAAAAACTATCAATAATTACATTTAAGTTGTTTGAAACTAGATAATCTGACTTGGAATATATTTAGGCAGAAAAATATTTGTAGAGCTGATAACTTCATCTCTAAAATCCTTTGTTTTATGTGATTACTGTCTTCCATTGCCAGCTCCAAGGCTCCATGACACCTTTATGGGACTCATTTTGCTTTAGAAGAGTTTTTCATTTTTCGATTTCTTTTGGACAATATTGCAATCAAAACCCAAAAATCTTCTTTCAATTTTCCCATTGTTCAAATATCTTTATGGCAGAAAATACAGTAAAAGAAACAACCTTTCAGATGAGGGAAAAAAGGGAAGGGAGAGAGAGTGAGAAAAGAAATTCCCTTCCTTCCCATCTTTCACTATCTCAAGACACAGTCCACAAGGGTGTACTGCCTTTAGGGGCCAGATCTCTGGATCAGAGACTGTATTTGTTTTTAGACACTGGCATTCCCCAAAAGCTTCCAGCTGAGATTTTCCTGAAAATGCTTTTGTTTGGATTTATTATTATTTCCTTAAGAACAAATATCATTCATGTATCTTGGGCATGATTGCCACAGAAATGAGGCTGTGTTTTCTCTATCACATCAAGGGAGACATAACATGTATTTATTTCATTCTGCTTTGGTTTTGATATCTGCCAGGTCTCAGCACCATACTTGTAATTAACAAGTATTTTGTCCTTATTACTTAATGAGAATTAGATGTTGCTGTGTATTTTGTAGCTGGGGGTGGGGGAAGACAGTGTGCTCTGTGAATACCATGTTACTCCTGAGACTTTCAGCCACTAGGTAACAGCCAGTGATGTTCTTAGATAAATCTGTCATTACTGTGATGGTAGTCAGGTGGAGACTCCATAATTATGTTGTTTATTTTATATTTACCACTTGGCAATTCACTGCAGAGTTTTGCTTTCTCTTCAATCTGTTCAGGTGTGCGTGTCTAGAAAGGCTTGTTGATTGACAAAGCAGACAACCTGTCTTGCTGTATTGGAGATGTGAGGAACACTTTGTTTTTGTTGGTCTTCACATTTTTGAACTGTGTCCCATGGCCCTGTGGGTTACAAAGGAGAAATAGGCACCCAGCCACCCTGTTTAAATGTATCAAGACATTTTCAATGTTCACTGTGACGGGACCTTTTGGATTGAAGCATATACAGACATGCAGAGATGAACTGAAGCTGAGAAAGTACACATGATCACACTGAATTATAGTGGCTCTCAATCTAATCTGACTGGGCATAAAGCAGAGTTTCCTTTAAATTATTTTAAAGTCTAACTCAATAGCACTTTGCTATTGTTCAGCTTACTACTTATAGATTGTGTATACATTGGCCAGTATTATCTATCTACCGATTTATCATGCATGTCCCGAAAGTTTAGCTACCTACCACTTTAAAGAAATATATTTGGGAGTCTTCAAGAAATAAAGGATGGCATCAGATCAGATTGGAAAGTTGTAATGTGAACATCTTTTAATTAAAAAATCTCTGATTTATGTATAGTAATTGTGTGTGGCACTTATACAACTGTCATAAAGGTAAAAAACTCAAGGCAAACAAAGTTATACATCAGTGGCATTATGACTAATGACTAAGTGAATTACTTTGTGAACAGTGGGGCTTTGCTCTCACAGTGTGAGGTGAACTGTGCAAACCCCACTCTGCAGGTGGCTATTACCTGTGATAACTCAGTTCTTCCTGACAATCTTTTCTCTTTTCAGTTTTTGTGGACCCTTTCTGACATAAACATAAACTTAATTTTAAACACATTTTTAAATATTGAAGTCCACTAAAGTCATAAACTGCTTGCTTAGCTTTGTCTTTCACTCTTAAAAATTGTTCTCACATACAGGGTGGGGCAAAAGGGTAGGTTTACAGTTGTTCACAGGGGAAATAATACAATAATTAATAAATAGTAATGCAAGAATAAACTGTGTGTTTCATATACAAACTACAGTAAATCTACTTTTACCCTACTCTGCATTCAAGAAAAAGAAAAAGAAACTCTTACTCAGCAGGAAAACAACTTGATAAAATATTTTCCCTCCTTGTTGTATGTATGCTCTGCAGTGTGTTGTGTTTTCACTTTTGCAGATGCTTCTCAAAGCTCCTAGAGGAAGAAGAGCTATGTTTCGGGTGTTCGTCCAGAATGATTGAAAGATCACTGTGAACTTCCAGTGAATGTGCCAGGAAAAACAGATCACAGGTATATTTGTAAACTACCCAAACAGTGGTACTTTATAAAAGTATTAACTTTTCAAAAGAAACAAATTTCCTACATAAGAAGAACTTGGATTTTTGAAGTTTGACACAGACATGAAAAATGTTTTAGACACCATCACAGATGATAGAGAAAATACAGAGTTGAAATAGACATTCTGTAGCCCAAAAAGAAATTACAAACATGTCAACAGATCCTACTCATATCTCAATCAACAGACTATGCTTGCAGCTGCCTGTGCTACTCAACCTTATGCATTTTGCAGAGCTTTGTGAGAGAGAAATCTTTATTTAGAAAGTCAGACATGATTGCACAGGACCACAGACGATTTGGCACACACACACACACACACAAAATGGCTGTAAAACGTGGCAGTGTTGGTATTTTACAAAAGTGAAATACAAGAAAAACTGAATAGTACTTAGCCAACTGACAGCAATGGTGAACTGGTAGGGGAAATGAAGGGTTAGGTCTGATCTTAGGTGGTGTGTGGTCTGCAGAACTTGGGGAATCTTAGAAGCACTTGTCTTTACCATCTGAAAGCAATAACATATATTCAGCTTCCTCATAATGTAAAACTGTGTATTTCAAATTAAGTTACCAATAAAGGTAGATTTTTCCCCAAGACTAGGAATGAAAAAATATTCAATATTCCAATGAAAGAGTTCTGTTTCCATTGTCTTGGTTAAATTCTCAGTCCATGACATTTTATGAACTTGGGCAAGTTTTACTTTTTTTGTTTGGTTGTGTTTAGATTTTCTGTGCCTTAATATAAAATTATAGCAATAATAGTAATCATTTCATCATGTGTTTATGAGCATGAAAAGAAATGTTACACATTACCACATAATAAATATACAAGAAACAATTATTATTAAATGATTCAAATTATCAAATCTCTATAAAAAAACTTCTCTCTCTCTTGCAATCACTCCTCTTTCACATATATAAATTGCACACCTACACACAGATGACATTTGAGGAATATTTGATCTTAATTAATAAAAAATAATATAAACTCAAGATGCAATCTTTATCTGACAGTTCTGGACAAATGTATTTGTATAACAACCTGAGAATGCAGAAAAATACCCTCAATAAAAATACAGTGTGAAAAGGAAATGGAAAACAGCTTGTACATACCAGGCAGAAGAGAACTGGAGGACCATAAGAGACATTTCCCTTAAATCTTTGCTTTAGGAACAAAGAAGTAATTAAGCAGCTTCCTCTGGAAGTGACCCTGGGGGAAGTACATCTCTAGAGGAAGAGGTGATTGTAAAATTTCTTATTTTGGCAGTGAGGGAGGATGGTGTAGGGAGGAAGGGCACCATTAGGAGTCATTTTTTTAAATAATTAATTCATTATTCTTTTTTATATTTTCTATTGTTTGTTCTATTGCAGTAGTCCCAATTGATAGATGTGTGCTATTTTATGCCCTCCCTTCAACAAATTCAAGTTTTTTGGATTTGTCCTGGGATCAATTAACAGAATTTGCTTAGAGTTTGCATCACAATATAATTGCTGATAGTGTGACTCAGTCTGGTTAAGGGTACCTTTTTTCTGTACTTTAGTCTGTGTCACTTGGTTTTTCCCGAGAAAGAGGAAATAAGTATTATTCCTTACAATTATATTTGTAATTTATCAAAGCAGAAAAAATATGTTTGCTTTAACTTAGTTTATTAACAAGGAAAACTGTAAACTTAATCATAGCAACAATAATGCATTTATTAAAATTAACACATGCCAGACATTTTAACTTATTTCTTATAAATATCTTCTAAGATATTTATATTATTCTCATTTTTTCAGGCAAAAAATTCAAGTCTTAGAGAGGTCCAGTGCCTTACTCAAGGTCACACTTTCAATAAATCAAGGAATAGATTCCTGATTGCAGAACGTGATTCCAGAGTTACACTGTTAATTACCTCATGCTATTAAACAGCAACTATTAACAGGACAGACTAAAAATCTCAATTTCTGACCCAAAGGAGTCTTGTTTTTATTATATGATTAATGTTAATGTATAGTAGTACATCATAGCCTTTATAGACTTAAGGGGAAAAAAGAAAGGGTAAATATATCTCTATTTTTCCCCAAATTTTCTAAAAATAACTTGTTTAAATATATTTATGAAAATACACTCTAAATTCCAAAACACCAACAAGATTGTTATCCCCTTCTGATAGTCATTATAAGGTACAGAATAAATAAGATTTTAAGTGGATATCATAGGATATTAAGTATTGTTTCAGGAAAAACTCAATTGTTCTTATCCACACAGGAAAAAATTACAGATTAGCAAGTCTAGTATGCAAGCAAAGTTTGTTAGAGATATTTTTTTCATGGAGGAGACCAGGCCCTGCTGAGGTGGGAGTAAAAGGCATAGGTAAAAAGCATAGGTAAAAGCAGGTGTGGCAAAAAGTATCAGGTCCTTTGTCCTGAGAACTTACAGAGTTAGTGGGATGGGGTGACACACATTTGATTGGTGGGTAAAGGCAACGCCAGCTTCCCTGGGTGGAGTATGACTACCCAAAAGGAGGTAGGTATGGGGGTCTGATAGCCTCAATTCCTATCTTGGTCCAGACCACATTTATTCATCTTGTAAAACATACATGTGACATGAGACAGTGTTATTTCTCTCACCCCATAGTAATTCAGCTTGTGAGCCCAAGGACCTATGTTTCTGTAGTCTATATTTAGAGGTTGGGAAAACAGGTTTCTCAGACCAGCAAGTCACCTGATTCTAGCTCTTTTTTGACTCTTGAGTTTGAATTCATTGACATTAGATAGTTTCACTCTGTATGAACATCCTGTCATGACAATCGTCCATGAAGACCGCAAGTCCTCTCCTCTAACATGAATAATAATTTCATCTTTTCCTTTGTTGCTAAGACATTTTGGGGGATAATGCCAACCACGGAGAAGCTAAGTAAGAAAATTATAGTATAGCACACCCTTGTTCTTCATTGATTAAGTATTAGCAATTTTGATCATTCTTGGGCAATCTCAAAGCATTAAAGTATATTGTAATTTGGCTGAAGGCATATTAGAATCACATGTCCTGGGGTGGTGAGAAAAAAGGGGTGGAAAGTAGGAAGGGGACTAAGTCTCGTATTTGCATGTGAGTCAGCCATGCTGCCCATATGGACATCTGAACACAACTAAACCAAACATCATGATTTATAAAAATAACTTCAGTTAAATAACTATTAACAGAGGCTTGCTTGTGATTTCTAAAAATGTCCCTGAGCACATAAAAAATTAAGAAGTTTAGAAATTAGATCTTGTGTGCCAACAACCTGCATTAAAGAAACAAAATCTTTTATGACATCTTAATTTCTGAAATATCCAAATGCATTTGAAAAACATTTAAAGGCATTTTTATGATACTGCAAGTAAGAGCCTACTTATGTGTAATATTGACACTCTAGAATAAAAACGTTTTTGTGGCAAAATATGTTAAAAGAGATTTCACTCAAGGGTATCGAGAACATTTGTGGAGACCTTGTCAGGTATCTAAGATCCTCAGGATACTTGTGGAATAAGATGTTATTTATTTCAAGTCTTGGGAATAATTGGAAGTGGGTTAAGAACTGTTCCTTAGATGAGTAAGTAGTAAAAATGAGATTTTTTTTAATGGAGTGCAGATGGCTGCTCGCTAATGAGGTGATGGCGGAACCCTTATCTTTTAGCCTGATCCAGTGCCCCAGAATAAACATTTCCTAAACTCTCTTACAGGGAGGTTTGAGGGTATGGTTAAGTTTGGCCAGAGAGACCTAAGAGAACATGCTGTATACTACATTTATTGTAGAACATTGAAGATCATTTGCACATGTGGGCTGGCTTCTCAAAAAGCCATTTTACATCTTAAGGTTACACCTTAAAAATGTAAGCTGTGCTGAGAATAAAACAAGCTGGAAAGGATTCAGAGACCAAACCCAATAAAGCTGACACACACATTGGAGACTGATAAGATCCAGACTTCTTTTATCTGACCATAAAACAAAACAAAGTAAATATTTAAACTTGTTTAAGCCACTACTTTTTTCTAAGAAAAGACACTAGCCAATACAGGACTGTGAATGAACTGTCTCAATGTTACCTCCTATTCTTCCCATGTTCAACTACTGCTTTCACGAATGTTAACCTTGTCTGCTATCTCACACAAAGTTAGAATTGTGTAAAACTAGCTTCAAAAAAGACATTTGACCCAGTAATATCATATCTTGCTGTGTCTAGAAATATTTTAATGGCACTTGAGCACTTTTATTTCCCCAGTTTTTGTTTCCCTATTGCTTCTCTCAATACCTCTTTCACATCCTTGTTCCTGAAGCCATAGATCATGGGGTTCAGTATGGGGATCACCATGGTGTAAAACACAGCCACCATTTTGCCCTGTTCCACGGACTCCCTGGCAGGATGTCTCAAATGCATGTAGAAGAGGGTTCCATAGAAAATTGTGACCACTGTCAAGTGGGAGCCACATGTGGAAAAAGCTTTCTTTCTTCCTTCTGCAGAATGGCTTCTAAGGATGGCGACAAGGATGAACATGTAGGATGTGAGAATGATCAGGAGGAACCAGACATTGCTGTAGCCAGTGACTATGTACATTGATAACTCTTTGCTGTAGGTGTCAGAGCATGCCAGTTTGATAAGAGGAGGATCAGCACAATAGAAATGATTAATTTCATTAGCTCCACAGAAAGAAAGGTTGTAGGTCCTCACAGTTTCCATCACACTGAGGAGGAAACTATAAACATAAGGGACAATTACCAAGGCAACACAGACATACTTGGACATTTTGCTACTGTACAGCAGTGAATGGCAGATGGCCATGTAGTGGTCATAGGCCATGAGAGCCAGCATGCAGTTCTCTGTGAGGACCACGGCAACAACAATATAGCATTGCACCAAACAACCCGCATATGAGATGGTCTTCTTCTCCAATAAGAAATTTTACAGCATTTTGGGAATGACATTTGTGGAGAAACACAGATCTAGAACAGACAAACTTGAGAGAAATAAGTACATGGGAGTGTGAAGTTGAGAATCAGTTTTGATTAAAACAATCATGCCCATGCTCCCTATCACAGTGACTACATAGACCACAAGGAACAGCACAAAGAAAGCAACTTGCAACTCTGGGCGACTTGTTAGACCCAAGAGAATAAATTCTGTTACAGCAGTGTAGTTTCTTCTAGACATTTCTTTGTCTCATATGAGATGCATTGGTTGGATTATCTAAGGAGAGATAAAAAAAAAGGCTTTTTTAATCACTGAATATTGTATGAGGTTACATATTGTAAAAAGATCCAAAAGACCTTAGTTATGTGATCTCAGTAGCATTTCCATATTAGATATGAACATATATACCATAACCAAGGAAAATGTTTCAACAAACAATTTTTATTCAGGTTACATTTGTAATCCCACTGTGCAGTTAAGTTCCAGGCTAAAGATAAAACTGCAAATTTAAGTATCTCAATACTTTGGGAAATTTGAAAGTATAAATAACTTATCTATCAAAGAAAATGTTGTAATATAAATTTAGAAATGCTTAGAAATTTTGCCTGCTTTTTTTTATATACACATAAAAGGTTATAAAGAATTTTGAAAATAACACAGGTAAAGTTCATTCTGAGAAACACTAAGAAAATGAGTTGTGAGCAGATAAGATGGTGGATATCAGAACTTCATCTCATATTTCCTAGATTGATTACTTACTGATGTATTATATATCTCAACCAGTACAAATTTACATAGTTTCATATCATAAAATTGAAGTTTAAATTGAAGCATAAATTGAAGTTTGTAACTAACTGTAATTTTCTTTGGGACAATTTTAACATTAGCAAATGTCATTATCAGAGAACTTGTCAGAAGCTAGGTAAATTTTCATACCCCATGAACAGACTCAGAATGCCAATGTGAGTAGAACTTCATTTTTTACCTTTCCTAAGACTGCAAGCTAGACGAAGAGATCTGGTTCACTTGTGTTTGAAGGTGTAACCAGGCAAGAACGATAATAACAATTGGTGAGTTCTTATATTCCATGCACCATATGAAAGCACTTTCCATCTATTATTTGATTTGATACTACATAATACCAATTTACAGTATGGAAACACAGATGGTTTCTTGAATCTTTGATTTTAAATCTTATTTTTTAGCTATTAAATAGTATTAGATCTTTCAATAATTGTACTTACCTTATTAACATTAAATTTTATAAAATGTATTGTTAATGTTAAGAAGTTCATAAAATTCTTTAAGTCACTTTATAAAATGTTGTAAGCCATTTTGTTATTTATGTTTAAATGCTTATAACAAGTAATTATTGGCCATATTTCAAGTTCCAGCCATGGTAATACCGGATACTGGAAGTAAGATGGTGGACAAGATAGAGGCAATAAGTTGTACAAGGTTGAGTACTCAAGTTCAGAAAATTTAACACTGTGACCCTAGAGCATAGATCAGAAATGGAACAACCAGTAGAGGATCAGATATAGTTCCTAGTTTAGTGTTTTTCCTCTTTATTGTGCTACTTCCTGGCAGAGTTCATCACTTCCTATCAGCTGAGTGGACTGCTTGGGGAAATATCATAACTGTTGCTAAAAATGTTAAAATTCAATTTATCTAATATTATTACTTGTTATCTTAAACCAACGATTGCACTGTCAGCTACTAGAAAAAACAAATATGAATAAAATAGGATCTTAAACTAGAATTGGCCTTTTTTTTTTGAAGTATAGATGATAAGGACACACCAGACATTCTTTAAAAAGTACCAGATGGAAGAGTGAAGAGAAGGACAGGCAACCAAGGTATCAGAGGAAGTTTGTAATGAGAACCTAGGATAGTGTGTAGGTATTGTGATTCAATTGGCCAGAGGAAAGCCAAGAGCTTTTTTCTAAAGCTCTCTGTCCATGAGCAGCTTCTTCAGTTCAAGATCTAGATTATAGTACTGACTTCATATCTAAGAGTTCCTCAATTTTGCTCAGATCTCACTGGCTATAGACATACATCATATTTTAGTGGAAGCCATTATTGTTAACCATATTTCAATTCTAGAATTGTTAGGCTATGACAGAGGCAATTAATATAAAGCTAAAGTCCATGGGATACCTGTCACACTGCTGCTAGACATCATGAAACACAACATATACTCAGACACAGTTAGTAAGTCTGATGATGAGTCAAGTGACTACATGAGAATGCCAGAACCTGCCAAAACAGAGAATCCTTCTCACTAACTAATTGTTGTAAGGTCTTTCCAACCCCGTTCATTTCTCTGAGCATAATCAGAATGATTCATATTTTAAGTATCTGGATTTAAAAAAAGATATTCTGAAAACAAAATTCCCTTGGAATACAAACATGGGCTATAGAAAAAACAGATCTTAGACAAAAACAGGATATTGGAAAATAATTCAGAATCTTGTAAGTAAGAGAAGATAAAGGGCTTAGAGATCTTTTAGTCTAAACCTAGTAGCTACATATACTGAAGCTAATTTTTCCATATATTTAATGCTTACAAGAAAAGGCCTATTTGAACATATACTTTACTTCTGAGAAGTCAAAAACATTTTAAAGCATTAACAAACTACATGGACCTACACTATAATTTTTTTTCTTGTGGAAAGTGATGACAATAGACACCCAGACATTAAGTAGTTGGAAAACACGAAAAGAGTATTATTTGCAACTAATACTAGTGAAACGTCTGCTGGAGATCCATAGTACCAAATTCTGCCAGAATGATTCAAAAACACCAATAACCTAAAGAGAAAGACAGAACTGAGTAAACACCTATAAATTTTCTCTCATTAACAATGCACTGTCTGTGCAAATTTCCCAGGAAACTACCTATTTCAACACATCAATATGTAAAAAAGTATGCAATTTAAATAAGGGAATACATAAATTGCTAGATTTTAAAAACTACCATGTGAACACATTTCCTCTCCTATCTGTAAAAGTATGAGTGTCTTCTTAGTGACCACAAAGGTCAAATTCTTGCGTTACTATAGGATTTATATTCAACTTGATGACATCAGCATTTATCTCAGGAGAATCCCCAACTGTTCCAAGGAGCAACTAAAAATAAATTCCCAATTGGGAGCATTTTCATGAGGAGAAACACTAACTGGTAGTATTACACTTTCTCAATTCCATATTTTATATTTCATTGAAATTTAAAACATTTGCCTGCTATGAGTAGTAGTGAAATATTTTATACAATAATGAAAGCCAAATTTGCAATCCTCTGGGGACAAAATTTTTCATGAAACTGAATTCAAGCAATTTTATTATTTCAAGTTCTCTAACTGATTTCTTATGTTGTTTGCCCTTTAACTAATTCACACAAATTATGTATTTAGCAGAAAGTTCACTGCTGTTTAGTCTTCAGAATACAAATATGAAAAATATATTCTTCTACTAAAGGAGTTCTCATATTGATGGGATACTTAAATAAATAACACTAGGTATAAATGATTAGTTTCCAAAAGAAAAATGCATGGAATGTGAGAGACAGATAACTACCAGTGACAACAGCATAGACAATAATCAACAAGTGCATGCTAAATATATGAACTGCATTTAATTTATAGTTTCTATCATGCCTCCAGTGTTTGCAAAAGTTTCCTAAAACTGAGTCCAAAATTGAATTCAGAGCATAGTTGCCGTAAAATGTAATTAAGAGAAAGATATCTTACAAATAACATTTGATATTCACAATAATCTCCTGAAATGTGTGTCAGTAATCATTGTTTGTAAGGAATAAACAGACCCCATCGGGTAGATATTCTAAGCTAACCCAGCTAAAAAGTAAATAATAAAACTGTGATTTAGAATCAGGTCTAAATAAATCTAAAGTCAATCCTTTGCCCATCACACCATGCTGTTATTTTTTCTTTGTTCATTCATTTCAGCAATAAGAGGTTGAAGTGACTGTTTTAACAGGTGGTATGAATCTTGAAATGGATAGAAATGAAAAAGAATCACACAAAATTCTACATTTCTTTTGTGAGTTGACAGTGAGTTCTATTCCATGTCTCCTCATTGAAGAAGCTGTACTTAAATCTTAAATCTCACTTGTCACCATGGAAAGAAAAAAATACCCACTGAAGGTTTCTCTCACCAACAATATTTTGCTCAACTGAGAAGAGACACATATGAATTCTAATCTACCTCATTGTTCACAAGTAACCACACACTTCCACCTAAGCTCAAAAGATAATTATAAATGCTATCATGTGCACAAAGGGCAACAAAATTAAAACAACTAGTGAACAAAATGAACAAAGATACAAAATGTAAACTTTTGCAATAAAAATTTTACTTTTTGTGTTCAGATTTTTTAAAAATCTTTAAAGTTTTAAAAGTGCAGTGTTCGTGAGATTCCACATATAAGTGAAGTCATGTGGTATTTGTCTTTCTCTGACAGGTTTATTTCACTTAACATGATACTCTTCAGGTCTATCCATGCTGTCTTAAAAGTTATTTTTATGACCAAGTAGTATTCCATTGTATAAATGTACCACAGATTTTTTTCATCCATTCATTTGCTGATGAGCTCTTAGGATGCTTCAAATCTTGGCTACTGTAAATAGCACTGCAGTGAGCACAGGGATGCATATATTCTTCTGAGTTAGTGTTTCAGGCTTCTTTGGATATATTCCTGAAAGTGGAATTGCTGGGTCATGAAAAAGTTTCATTTTCAATTTTTTTAGTTAACTCCTGTTTTACACAGTGGCTGCATCCATCTGCATTCCCACCAACAGTGTATGAGGGTTTCCTTTTTTCCACATCCTCGCCAACACTTGTTTGTTGACTTACTGGCAATAGCTGGTCTGACAGGTAGGAGGGGATATCTCACTGTGGTTTTAATTTGCATTTCTTTGATAATTAGTGACATTGAGCATGTTTTCATATGTCTATTGTTCATCTGTATGTGCTCTTTGAAGAAATATCTATTTAGGCACTTTGCTCATTTCTTAATTGTGTTGCTTATTTTGGGGGTGTTGAGTTGCATAAGTTTCTTATACATTTTCAATATTAAGCCCTTGTCAAATATATTGACAAATATTTTCTCCTCTTTAGTGACCTGTCTTTTCATTTTGTTGATGATTTCCTTTGCTGTGCAAAAACTTTTTTAGTTTGATGTAGCCTCACTCATATGTGGAATCTAGTGAACAAAATAAACTGGCAAACAA